TACTTTTGTCAATTCATGCTGTTGCCTCGTTGGTTCCATAGAGAAGCCGGAATCCTTGAAGTGGGTAACGGGAAGCATCATTGTTTTCACGGAAGGCTCACAGGCACGATCCGCTGTTCGGTTTTCTGGTCTTACCCTCGTACACCGGTCCAGAAAGGCCGCTGGCAGCTGCTAGCTCTTTGGGAGGATCACCTGCCAAAGAACTAGCTGCTCCGGCTGGGTGTCTCACCTTCATGTACCCATCCACGAGTAAGTGATCAACGAACAGAGCCATATAATAGGGCTATGCTTTCTTCGGAAAAAGAGTCTCAATCAGCTACTCGTTACTCGTGAAAGTTGTAGAGTGCGTAGGAGGGAGTGGGTGATTACGGAGTATAAAGTAATTTGAGTACACCCATGAAAAACCGGGCAAGTGGGTGGCACTAAAGGTTTTTAGCTGAAGCTTATCCAACTAAAACTACGAACCCGTACTCTTAGATTGTCGAATAATTAATAGTTGGTTTCCCCCTTGACAGTTTCCCTGACCTCTGGGTTTATGGCCCATAGTAGAGTAAGCTTGGTGGGATAAAAATGAAGAATGGAGAATGTTGTCTTTAAAAGTCCTGTTTGTGGTATGCGCACCGCACTCGACTCCCCACTCAGAATCGTAGCGACGCATTGAATGCCTACATTGAAGGCTTACTCAATGGCTGGCCAGCCAGTGTGCAGTTCAGTGATTTATCCTCCCACATGAAATTTATCCTCCCACATGAATCTGGCATCTATCAGCCCTATCACCCAGGTCAGGAGATAACAGAGATTCTATGCTCTCACCTGCATTGCCTGTTACTGAATTATGATCTTTTTCATCCAGGACAGTTACTGCAACGGCATCTTCCACAATATCATTATTTATCACCTTTTATCATTCTTTACTCGTTTATCATATATTTTTTTTGTCGTAATTTATAGATACTTTTGTTGAACTGATTGGTTCCCGTGGAACCTTGCCAAAACTCTACCGCAGGTAGGGAATGGTGTAGTGCCTAGTGGCGCTGTTAGCACCAGTAGGGATCTGGATCGAATCCCACCCGAAACAATCGTGTTTGCAAACCTCCTCATTCACTTATATATGCTATTTACATATTTATTATACTATTTATGATTAGAGATAGATTCCTTCCTATAGATTACGAGATCAACTTGAGCATCCGTTGCCCCCTACCCTCGGCGAACATTGTGTAAGCCGGAGACGCCTTCTGTTGTTTCTTCGGGTTGTGTGGGAGTGGCATGGGAGGGGGATCGCCCTTCAGGGGGAGCTGACTTATTTCTCAATTATAGTTTCGTGTGATTAATCATAATGTTTTGATTAAGGATGTAACCTTTGATACTTGTGTGTAATCTGTGTTCCCGTTGCGGTTAATCATTTTGATCTTGTTTAGATCCCCATTAAGTGTGACCTTTAACGTGAATGTCACCACTTCTGAATGTATTCAGAGTTCCGATATTAGAAAAACGTCTACTAGACAAAAACTCTATTGAAAATGTTAGAAAAAATGGTTTGTTAGGCGGCGGCGATCGGCTGCGCGCGCACATAGAAAGGCGAGCGGAGTTTTTTGGCTGGCCCTGAGGAGTTTTTATGGTACCAAGCACACCCTGGCACATGTGTGATCACGTTGCACTAACCGTCGTTGCTGCGGTTTTTTCTATGGTCGATTGAAATTTGCAGAACTTAGCAGGGAAAATATGGTTAATTCTTCAGAAAACGCCTTAGCTCGCATGAAAAAAGTCGCTAAAAACCAAATTTCTACGATTTTTTGCCAAAAAATCTTTTTTTTCCACCCTAGGGTCGTATTTCTACGTGAGGGACTTTTTTTATAAAAGAATAACTGGTATTTCTACAAGCTCACATTAGACCTTTGGGGCACAGTCTCGAATACGTCATAACCCCCTTTTTTACTCTCCCGCTTACCAAATTTGCTTCTTCCTAGCCCTTTAGTGGATTTCCCAATTCACTTATTCGCTCATTCCTGGGGCTGAACTGGATTGGCAGGAAATTCTCTCAATAAATTCGAAATCACTACTGTAATACAATTCTACTACCTTCTAGATGGAAGCTGGAAGAACCAGACGGGTGAGATGGCAAGGTGGGGGAAAGTGTGAACCAGTGATTCCTTCTCCTCTCTGTCTGGTCCCTGGTAAAGACCCTAGATTTCCTCCTTTGAAGCTCTACCCTGTGCTCTGTGTTTCTTCCTTTCTTAGTTCACCTTTCAGGTCCATCCAGCCTACCTTTCCCCTTCCCCCTTTCACCCCCTTCTTCTGACCCCTTCCTTGTCCGTTCTCATAGGTCGACTGACAGTTCTTCTTGTCCCCTCTCCCGTCCTCGACGATCCTCACTTTCCCTGACATTGCGCGTGCACGTACACGACCATATCCCTTCTTTATGATCGTTCTTGGTCCGATTCACACCCGTGCGACATGGTGGATGACCTTGGATTATGAAATTTGATTTATTGTAGGATGTATGTATTTAGGGTAAGGAGGGAAGAAGAACGAAAGGAAACATTTCGAGAAGTTCGATTATTCCCCGGTTTCTGAGGTCAAAGGGTACTCCCATCTCGTCGTACCTATATTTTAGCAGGCCCTTAAGCGGTTTCACCAGAGCTCCCAGGAAGTCTGTTTTTTTCAAAACAATTCTCGCAGTTCTAGGTCGGATAGGTCTTCATTGGCAGACCATTTCCCGATATTTTTCTCTGGTCATACGAATTCGAACAGCTTGACAAATGCGACCATGTCTAGTTGTTTTTTGTCCACTTTTTGGCCATTTTTATTTATTTTTATCTCTCTCCTTGACGAATCCATTCTATATAAATACAGTCTAAACTGTGCCAATTAATCGGTATTCCCGATTATCCGGAGGATTTTTAGATATTTTGGTCCTGAAAGATGAACGAGCTTTTTGACCCACTTGATTATACGCAGTTTTTGGTACTTCGATAAAAAATTTCGTATTAAAAGAGCACTATTTTGTAACCTCGAATGCGGTTGTAACTGTAGAATACAGTGAAATAAAGGAATATAAAGTGAAACAATTTCTGGTCTTTTGTGCTATTCTTTCTGCTCAAGCTCAAAAATACTATTTTTTTGCAGTTTTTTTTTCGCCAAATTCGTTTTTTTTTAGTTTACTTATTACATACCTTAGTACTAGCAATGTTGCTTTTTATCAACAATAAATGTTACGGTTGTTGAATTCCGTCTCATTTTTGCCCTCTGGCCAAAAACTTCTGTTTTTTGACTTTTCTCGAGCAGTAATGGTTGCTACTTGTCAATAACTCATACGGCATTCACTGATGTACTCTAAAAAAAAATCAAAATTCTTGTTTTCAATAGCTTCCCTTCCAGAAAAACGTTGGTCAACCAGAGATTTCGAGTGCGGAAATCGATTTTGAACCATCGGATTCAGAGCATTGGGACAGCGACAGCGACAACGTTCTGGTAAGCCCCTATCCATTACTTTCGTTAGATCGTAAAGTTGTGTGGGTGAGAAAAGAGAATGAAAAGGTTCTGGCTGGGAAGACTGGGATCACAGAGTCGACAGGTACCGAGTTAGTCGCTTTCCGAGCGTCGGAAAAAGATTTCCTGAAACGACATTCAGGTCGGCTTGTGCTCAGACCTCTGTCTGCCCTTGATCCAGGGCCGCTGAAGCTGATTCCAAGGCTGGAGCTGCAGGCCTGGTAGTGAATGCCGAGTTGAGAGGAGAATCGGATTTGGTTAAAAAATGGAGGGACTATGGATTCCGCTGTGGGCACCGTTTCGACCCGGAATCCCCGAAAAGAACCTGGAGAACGAATTTGATCTGGAAAAAACTTCCAGTTGGGCCAACAGTCGCTGAGGACCACGCGGTGAACAATTTGTCTCTTCCATGGGCCCTTCAATCGGGGGTGTGGGAGATTGTTCGTAGGTATTTTGGTAGGATAAGATTTTGCCCATGGTTCTAGCCAATATAAAATCCTTTTCTCCTCCTTATATACTATCGAGGTCCCGTAATTCGTGCGTATTGAAAGAAACAGTGTTTAACAGGCTTGTTCTTTTTTCCTCGACCTCACAGCTAATTCACAAATCCTAAAGGGCGCCCAGAGGGATTTTAAAACCCGCCTCCTCATTGGACTCGGGAGCATTTGATGAGGAGTGCGTCGGCACAGCGTCAACGCTGTGTCGTCGCCTCGCCCCTATCCGCCGTTCTCGCTCTGTGTTGCCCTACCCTGGTCTTTCGCAGTGATCCCTGATACTCCCTCTATTTTGGACCTTTTGTCATACCTATATCTATCTTGACATTCTTTTCAGGATCCGCATGAATACGATAGCAGTGAAGATGAAGATGGCAATGATTCACTAGAAGAATGTGACGAATCAGATGGACTAGAGGATGACACCGGTGATTGCGAGGTACGGTATCAAATTTTATGATAAATCTCCTTGCCTTCATCAAAAGGGGTTGGAAACCTTTTTTTTCGGTTCCGTAGGAGTCGGCAGGATGGGGTAGGAAAGTCGAGGGGAAAGAGTGGGTCGGGTGAAGTCCTAAGAGTGAATCAGGTTTGAAATGGTCCAAATGCCACTTTTCGAAGTACGCCACACATCTGACTTCAGTCCGTTACGGTAGAGGGCTCTGGAGGTAAGGTATTCAGGTGCTTTGCTGCTATAGTGAGGAGAGGAGAGGAAGCGGAGGAGGAAGGGATGGATGAAGGGCTGGTCAGAATCGGGGGCTTCTCTACGTTCGGGTGGGCGTTTTGATCCCAACAGGCGAGTCGGCTATTAGTGGGCTAAACTTGGAGTGGCGGACAGTTGATTCAGCTTGATCAGGCTCAGTTCCCTATAACAGGCGTGCAAGGTGGCAGCACCATTTGTCACGGCACCCCCTGTCCCTAAGAATTTAGTAAGGCTTCATTGTTTGGTGCTCTGCTTGGGAGGTCTTTTAATACGCCCAATTTCGACAATCACTAGAAATTTCCTTCTTTCGTTTGTTAATCCCACTGGGAGGGCGTCAAAAATGGCGCATCGGCGAACTGGGCTACTCCCATCTTCACGATTTAAAGATAAAATCCCATTCGGGACGATTAGGCTTGTTCTTTTCTGGAACTTGGTAGAATCGTTCCAGATTCGCTAGGAAAAAGCAGCTTTAGCATAATAAGGCCCGATTACATCATTCTTAGGTCCGAAAGGAACTTCAAATATCTCGTAATGATCGTACGCGTGGCGCATTCTCAAGAAACTATCCAATCCCGAGAAATTCCACGTTTTCTCCCTTTTTCTCAGTAATACGCGTATTAGTCGCAATGGTTTTTCGTGTAATGGACTTTTTTTCTCAATGCCTGGAATGTCCTCCACTTGGCTTTTCGAAAGTACATTCCCTGTCAGAGCTCATTTCACGCCTCTGGGTGGGCACTCTTCTGAATCATTTCTTGTTGTGGGTAGGGCGAGGGGGGG